ACTTGCGTTTATGTACTTGATTTTGTCACGGAAAACTCTCAAGATCAGTCTGTTCTATCACTGAAAACATATCAATGATATGTAGCCTCAGTTTTGCAGTACGCCTTTACAATCTTTGTATGAATGTCATATAGACACTATAGAACAGGTTAAAAATGGATTCCTTAGATATGCTACTTTCAAAACAAAACCTACACCTACCAAGACGTTTTGCAATGCTTCAATGTCCTCTTTGGAAGTTTGTAGGAGAAAAAGTAATTTAACAATTCTGTTCAAAATAGTATCTGGAAAGGTAATTCCCGTAAGGTGTATTTGCTTTCATATCACAGAACAAATTATGGATATCTTAGCCCAATTTTTTTTAAAGACAAAACACAAGCACTACAGGAAAATCCTTAAGGCGCTTCCAGAGAGGTGCCTGTGCGAAAGAAGCGATTCACATTGGATTTGAATGGCTGGATAAGTCCGTTTGAAAAAACGTTCTCAGGAAGTTTATTCCACATAAACGCAGTTCTCCAGATGAAAGAGTTCTTAAACAGTTAAATTCGAAATGTACTGAGTTGAACCTCAAAACGATGAGTAGCCACAGTCCTTTGCGTATTTCTGATATGTACCGCTCTTGGTGAAATCAAATGTGCCAAATCACTTGAACACTTCCCGTAAAAGTATCTATATAAGAGTGACAAATTTCCAACCTTTCTTCGATGTTCCAGGCTATCAAAGTTGCACCTGATGTTCGCGTCTCCAATCGGTTGGATGGCTCTTTTCTGGATGGAATCCAGCAACTTCAGGGTATGTTTGGGGGCAAAACTCCATACATGAGAACAATACTCCAAAGAAGATCTGATCTGAGATTTATTAAGCATCAAAAGTTGCTGAAGTGTGTACAGTATTCCAAGCTTTTGAGCTTTTGAGAAGCAGCTTTTGCAATTCCAGCTACATTTTTATGCAAAGACATATTGGTGTCCATTTTAACCCCCAACAAACTTATCGAGGCAGAAAGCGGAATTGTCTGACCTGACATTATTATATCCAGTTCGGAGACATTCATCTTTTTGGAAAAAACCGATGCTTGGTTTTTTGTGGCATTGAATTGAACCTGCTTACTTTCACCCCAATTCGAAATTGCTTCTGAATCCTCATCAATTATATGCAACCTCTTGCTGCATGTGAAGATGTGCCACCGTAGCCGATGTCCTGGAATCCAAATGAAATGACGAAACAAGTGTGCTGTCGTCAGCAAAGCAAAATATTGGATTCTTATTTTCTTCCAATATGTCGTTGATATACAATAAAAAGAGGGTTGGAGACAATTTGGATTCCTGGGGAACACCAGCGTTGATGGTGAGAGATATCCATAGACGGCCACTTGCAGGAAACGTTTTTTCAGGAAGCTGAAATCCGACAAGCCATATCATCGAAGTTTGGCCAGCAAACCCTCATGCCACACACCCCAACGGCCTTAGAAATATCAAACGCAACAGCTCTTGATTCTCCATGTTTCTCGGTTGCGTTATTCCAAATATGGGTGACATACGATAGAACGTCGCATGTTGATCTTTGTTTCCGAACCCTTATCGATGATCGCTCAAGATGTTGAAGCCTTCCAAATATTTGAGTATATGAAGGTTTGCGACTTTCTCCATGATTTTTGATATCACTGATAGCAAAGCGACTCGTCTATAGTTATTTGGAAGATTTTTTTTGCCCTTTTTGGGAATAGGCTGAACGCGAGCAATCTTCCAACAAGAAGGAAAAACCCCTTTCTTATAAGACAGGCTGAAAAGTTTGCAAAATACTGGTGCTTACATGGTTTTGAACTGCTTTGAATGCATTTGAATCCTCAAAATTATTAGTAATACAAAAATCTAACTCAATAAACCAGTCGGTTCATTTCGTTTAACGAAAATGAGTATTTTCATCAATTTATTTTGAAACCAGAGAAGTTCCAATCAGAGTAACTTATACCAACCGTTTTATTTTTTGTTATAGACTAAATAATTTTGTACTTTGAGTTAGACGTAATCAAAATATCAAAATGTAGGTAAAAACTGTAGTGGAATTGAAACACCTTTTTATTAACGTTTGTTTGAAGGTGGTTGACAATGTTTCGTGGAGTATTTCATCAGTTCGGACTTCCATTGTCTAATATAATATAAATTGATTTAAAATACCTGAAAAAAATTAAAAAGATTAACCGAAAATAACAATTTTATTAAACAAAAAACTGAAATTATAAAGAACTGACATACAAGCTACAACCAAAAAATTGAAATATTAGTAAAAGCTGAAAATTGAAGATATTATTGACAACAAATGAAAAATAGAAATTGAAAGATTCCAAACCAATTACGTTACGACGTTTCGATTGTTATTATCCACAATCGTCTTCGGGTGATAACTGGACTCCGAGATCTGACTATTTATAGGTCATTCGAGTGCTTTCACCTATCCCCTCGTTTTTCCCTTGATTAGAGGTTTCCATATGTTACGTATCTCTACGCTGGCTTGTTGTTGTTGGACAACATATACGCGGCTTCTTTGAATTTTCTCCTAAACCAGTGTTCTTTTTTGTGGATGATTTCAGGATATTATATTAGACAATGCGGAAGTCCGAACTGATGAAATACCTTTTCATTAATCTTCAACACTTGTGAGCTGAGAAATTAATCGAATAAATGACCTCATGTTATCATATCTATAAAGTTCACGTTTGTGGTCAACTTATTTTATACATCCAAGAAAATGGGGGAAAATTATATATTTTTATTTTTGTAATTTTTTCCGAATATGGTTCCCAAAAGTGAATTTGACAAATTGACCATTGTTTTTTAATTTCTAGTTAATACGGAAAGTTTAGATTTTCAAAAGTAGAGTTATGTTTTGATGAAATTTTATTATTTTCTGTATCTTTGATATATCACTAGTGATATTTGAAGCGTCGTTTTATCTTTCGATTCAGAGAACCAATCTAAAAAAATTGAGGATGTATGCAAAATATAATACTTTTTGATTCGTGAAGTGAATAATGCATACCAAGTGATGATGCAAAAATGATTGAAAATTGCAGATATATTACACGATATAGTATAACCAAATTAAAATCATTAGAGTGAACTTTGGTTTATTCAATGCAATAAACATTAGATACTGGGCTCTAAAGAATCATCTTTATTAGGATTTTTCAATAATATATTATCTTCAATGCCTGGCTAGCATTCAGGTGGTAATATTTTTCAAAATATCCAATAAATTCTCAGAATCTCGCGAAAAAGTCAAAACACACTAGCAACAACAAGCTTGTCGGAAGCACTTCAAAAACACAAAATACCTCAGTTAGCATTGCCGAACTTTACTAATTCATAGCACTTTATCAAAGGACTTCGACTGAATTAGCCAAATTACCTAAAATGTCTTATGCATTTTTTTAAAAGTATGCATATGGAATCATTTGATACCTAAAAACAGGCTACAATAGCTCTTGGGGTGATTTAAATCGCATCGCTGCCAACTTATTTTTAGTGTATTTTTTTGTAGATTATAAATTAGTTTCTGTCCAAATTATCAACAATAGGGGTGATTCGGCCGAATCCAATTTCCAGCATTTTTTATATACTTTTATAGTTAATGCATGTACGGCCAACTTTAATTTTTGTAAGGTGCAATGCTACTATCTTAACATAACAAATTCTGATAAAGGTGTTTTAAATTGAATCGCTGAAACTAGTAAAGTAAAGTAAGTAAAGTAAATTTTATTCAATTCAGTATTTAGACAAAATACATAGTCGTCTATGACAAAAGGATAAAAAAATATAATAAAATAAATGAATGAAACGTAGAGATTATACAATTTTAATGAAAGTTACGGCTACCTAAGCAAGCTTGTAGTGTAGCCAGCAAACTAAATAGTATATCTTTTCCTGTATAACCAAACGTAGTGAAGAGAGTATAGAAAGGAAGAGATAGTAAGAAGAAGATAGAGGACAAGAAAGAGAGAGAGAAATATCTCTCTGTGATGCGCTCTGAAAGACAACTCTAATAATAGCTATTTCTTGTTCAAGTATCAAAAGAAGCATATCATAATTATTGTCAACAAATTTTTTCAACTCTATTTTGAATTTGAGTTTATTTCTCATGCCTTTCAGTGATTCAGGTAGAGTGTTGTAAAGTTTGGGTCCCAGATAGGTTATAAATTTTTGATTATGCGTGAGTCTGCATCGTGGAACGTTCATGGTCTTAACTGAACTGTTACGAGTATTGAAAGCATGCTGTACAAATTTGATTGAAGAATTAGCAGTCCATAATAAACTCTGAAAAATGTAAGTTTTTCTAACACCGAATATCCCAGTTTCATCATACAACGACTGGATACAATACCTCCGATCTTTTTTCATCATGATTCTTATTAATGAATTTTGAATCACTTTTAAGTTAATCTTGAAGGTACCACCCCATACTATAATACAGTAACGTATTATGGAGTTAGCCAAGGCATCATACACCATCAGAAACTAGATGAAACTAGATGAACTTTTCGTAATGTTGAATTCAAATTCATTTTCCCCTTTTTTTACTCATTCACAAATGAATAAATGATAATAATAAACAATAAATCGTATTACTTACATGAGAAAAACAAGAAACACAGTACAACATAGTAACGCTCTCCAAGCTATCAATTATTATAAAGCTGTAATTATGTATTTTTGCTCAAATTTTTTAATTTTGTTGAAAAAAAAATTGCTTTACTGGACACACCAGTAGTATACTTCACAGTATGACATTTGTTTATTCATTTTTTAAAATAATTACTTGAAAGGAATTGGAATGGAATGGAAATGGAAAATAAAATTCAATTGACAAATACCAGGGTCCAGTTGTTACCGTGTTTATATTCTATGAGGAACCTCGTAATTTTTATGACACACTATTGGTTTGATTACAGGATACCTTTTATCAGAGATGATAACATTTTCTAGGAGTTCGTTGTAGATAATATTCCAGAGAAGTAAATAGTATTCAATTCAACCGTATCTAAATTGACATCACTTTTGTAGAACATTCAATTAAAAAAAATTCAAGTAACACGTGAAATCAATTCTTCAATGTGGATTGATGTGAAAATTTAGTTGTTTAATAGGTAATTTACATTTGAGGTAAGCCATATATTGGTCAAAAGAAGAGTTTGCATTTTTTCGAAAGATTTTTTTCGGGAATAATCATCTCTGGGTTTATAACTACTAATTGAGAATATAGAANTATTGTTCAAAAGAAGAGTTTGCATTTTTTCGAAAGATTTTTTCGGGAATAATCATCTCTGGGTTTATAACTACTAATTGAGAATATATACAATTGCGCAAAGTAAAATCTAGAATTCTATTCCAAACATTCACTGCCAAATATAAAGTGTCATGACTTGGATAATTGATTATTCATAAAGTAGGTAATCTTAGCAGTACTTTCTACAGGCTGATCCAAATTGAGTGCTTATATACAATGCGTCCACGATCGAAAAACATCAAAGATACAAGAAAAAAAATTTCATTTAGTCACTTCATTGTGAGATTTTCACTGGAAAGTTTACAAAACCACAATACATGTTTCGCTATGCAATAGCTTCCTCAGACGTATGAGTATGGACATGCTTGAGGAAGCAATTGTAAACTCCAGTGAAAATCTCATAATAAATTGTTGTTTAAATACGTCATGGATTTTCATGAAGTATCAAGTAGATCTTATTTAAATAACTTAATGAAATGTATTCCACTTGTAGAAAAAAGTTATCCTATATAAGTCAGGTGTTAACGCATATTTAATTTTTTGTTGTCGTTATGTGTACTTATTGATTACTACCGGTGAAACCTTCCATGCTTGTGTGGTAAAAGTTTAATAATATAATTTGTGAACCAGCATCAAATAAACATGAAGGGAAATCATTCAAACTACATAAAGGGATACATTTTTATTGGCCTTTCAAAGTATTATTTTCTTCCCCAGTCCAAAAAAATTCCGAAAAGATCAATAAATCTCTGGATTTGCTCCATATTTTTTTTTGTAAAGGGAGTATGAGTATATAAAATTCTTGTCTGAAATTTACATTTCCTATAAATGCTTATTGTTTCACGGGCGTACCTTAAGTCAGCCGAAATGCTCAAGTTCATACCTTATCTGGAAACTCTTCATTCTTTTCATAATTTGACAGGAAACCACTGAAGAAATCCAAAGACACGGATGAAGGATCAAAATATAGAACTCGGCCAATTGTCACCCTCCAGTCCTACCAATGGTTCCTCGAGAATTTCAGATGGCCATGACCATGCCCCAGGTACCTTTCCCTAGTACTCATTCCTCTCTATCGCAACTCATAATACTGCATGAAATGTTTTCAATCAAATGCTTGTCATTTTTTTCATACGATTTATTTTACTTTGCCTGAACCATATTAGAGTTTGCCTTCTACCTAGAGAAAGAAAAAAATATATTCCGATGGAAACTATTTTTTTTTTGCAAAATATTTTTTAATTTTGTTACGAAAACTCACCCTTTTTTGTACTAAATGGCTGTATTTTTCAATAATTATGCTTAAGATTTTATTTTGCCTTGAACATGCCTCGACAAAATATCAATGTCTTGAAAGCTTTTTTTTCAAAATCAACAGTAATCTTTTTTATTAAAATATTTTCTAGTTCACTTCTTTAGTAATTTTTATTTTCTAACAATTCCTTTCAATAGTAATGATACTCTTTTTCTTGAAAATAATATTTTGCTACGAAGGTAGTAAGGAAAAACTTGTTCACCTATTAGCCTTAAAAGGCTTCTAAATCTAGAAAATTAACTTCTAGACATAGCGTCAATGCCTAATGCTAAGCATTAACATCCGAAAATTGTCAAAGAAATGATGTAACAAGACTTGATAGAAAAAAAAGGAAACTTTTCTATGGCGTTAAGTCATAGGTCTGTGAAACAACTTCTTCAGAAGAAACATTTTCAGGAAGACTAAATATACTGACGATATTGAACTCTTTTTATTTTGTGTCCAAGTACAAAGACTATTCAAGAAATAATTACTCTCCACAGAAAAAAAAATTAAATTTTCCAATTTATATGCATCTAAATGCATCTTGGTCCTGTAAATTTTTAAACGTGAATGAGATACAACTTTCATTATCTCGTGGTTAGTCATGAATTTGCTCCTCCTGAGGTAAACTTTGTCTACAGGGAATTAATAACGGGTCAGTGTGACCAACGTTGTGATGAAAACCATTTGAACTTTATAGATGGATAAAATAATGGGCTACCTTGTATTATTACTGTATTACTAGTATTACCCCAAAGGAGGGTGCTGCAAGTAGCCTCATCGGACCAGAATATGTCATTGGCATCGCTTTAGGCTTTGCCAAACAAAGATTGAACACCTGGATGGCAAGATTTATGGACTTCTGGCAGAATCTTCCAGGATTGGCTCACTCCAAGGTGTTTCTTCGCCCTTTTAAGCTTGATACCAAACAGTTTTTGGACTAGGGATGAACTACAATGTCTAACGGGCCTTCTTACAGGTCAGTGTCATTTGAATCGGCATATGCAGAGACTCGGACTGTCGGAAGACAGTGTGTGTCGCTGTACTCATACTATCTGACCTGAAAGACCACTCACCATGCAAACTAATTAACTTCGTTAAGAAGCTGGGTTTATTGGGTCGAGTGTGAATAGGTGTGAGCCACAATAAACCCTTGCGGGTTGCGATGGAGGGTCGAATAGACCCACTCACTTTGGACCTAACCTAACTGTATTACCACCTTTCACAAAAGGTTTTTCTTCCAGGGGCACCACCATTGCCAGTACTTTTTGAACAGTCTTGGTATATAATCAAATCCTTAGTTGAAAAAATAAGCAATTATTGGTAATACTGTTCATGTTAAGGCGTAATAGTCTGAATGTAACGTTTATAAAGCTTCCTGAATAGTTTGTAACCATGCAAATCTTTTTGTATTAGATGATTTTACGAATCAAAAATAATTTTTTACGTTTTTCATTATGTTAAAAGTCGTGTCCAATCATTAGAGTCCTGCTGATTGTTCGTCTCATACTGTGAAAACTATAAGATTTTGTGAACAAAGTAACACATATGCATATTGGCATTATTTTTTTTCCATCTTATACAAAAAAGTTTCTTACTTGAATTTTCACTAAAAAAATTTATTGACACATTATGCAGTACTATGACAATTTGCTTGATAATTATTCTCTTCTTTTTTCTATCCACAATGTATTTTACAGAAATTACAGTAATACATATAATGCTCTTTTTTGCAGAAACTAACAATGCTTTTGGACTGTTTCAATTTTTGCACTGTATATAAAAGTAGTTAACACATTTTCTATTTTTGTGGTTCCTTTCAAATGTTTTAACAATATTAAATACTTATAAAACATTATCATACATAATTCATCTACACATCTATCATACATTATTCATCAACTCTATTTCAGCATAAAGTTGCAGCATTCAGTAGAATGCTCCACACATTGAATATTCGAAGATCACCGAGTTTCATTAGACTTTGATGAACCCACTAATAATATAACTCTCTCCCTCCCAACAAATAATAATTTGAGCAAATTCATTCAAAACAAATAAGACAAAACTACAGTGTCGGATACATTGGGAGACAAGAATCACAAGTTGCATGTGGTTCTTTTCTCAAAATTTATATTGGTCAAATTGAAAGAGTTTTCTCCAAAAGAATGAAAGAACATAGAAGTGTTCTTTAATGAGGAGACCATTTCAATATTTGCAAATTATTTCAATCAAACTAATATTTTTTTTCGGGAATTTATTATATTTATATTGCTTAGGGCTGCAGAAGGAGATTAACTCATAGTCTACAATATCAAAGTTGCGTTTTTTAAATGGAACACTCTGTATTTCGTTACACGTTTGAATATGTTAGGAAAAAATAATATGATTTCATATAGGGTACTATGTATGGTATAACTGTTCTCAAGTTATTGATTTTTTTATGAAAATGCTAGGTACTATTGGAAACTGAATAACATCGAAATGTATAGAAATCATCCCTTCGAATTCTGACCAAACATGAAGAGATTTTGGGCTATTGATAAAACTCAATATCATAATGTTCAAAAATCATTGTCACTTTACTTTGTTATTTCGAACAGAACACCCTGTATATTTATGGTCTGAACAATATAAAATTCAATTATCTTTATTTTGGGGTTCCCTTTACCTAACCTAAATAGTTTTTCAGATATCGGCTTTTTCAAATAGACTTCTTTGAATCAAGATAGCTTTGAGACGACATTTATTTGATTTGCTCACAGAATTCTCATTGTCAGTTGTTATACTTCACTTCATCGAAAATATTTACTTTTTACTAAAATGAAGTCATCATTTACATTCATATTCTGTTCATTAAACAGACATTACATTTTTTTATTATTCAACTGAAACTACAAAAACATTTTGAAACACAAATGTATTTAATTCAAAGTAGGTGCTCGTAATGACGACTCTCTCTATGAAAGACTGCTCAACACGTGAGACATCACTTTTTGAAAAGCAGCCCTTATTATCTCCTTCATATTTTCCAGTATAGTTGGAGGAGTTTCGTAAACCTCATTCTTCAAGTATCTCTATAGGAAAAAATCGAGGCAAGTCAAACATGGTGATCTCGCTAGCCAATTTTGTGGTCCTTCCATATTCAAAAACTGTCTGACACTGAATGTGAAATGTGCCGGAGCTCCATCCAATTGTAACCACATCCGTTGTCTGATATTTAGCGGCACATTCTCCAGAAGCTCAAGCAGATCATCTCGTGAAAATTGTAAAAATGTTTGACCATTCAAATTTCCATAAAAAAAGTATAGTTCTATAATTTGTATATCTGTTAATTGTAATTGTTATGAAAAGTAGATTCATCAGAAAATAAAATGGAAACCAAAAAATGTTCATCCTCACTGAACTTGTCCAGAACCCATAGACCAAACTCGATTCGTCTATGGAAGTCTATTTATATAATTCCTGGTGCATCTGAATTCGGTACGGATGAAATTTGTATTTTTTATTACCCTGTATATTTCTGCTTCGTCTGCTTATTTCTGTATATTTATCGATCTTACGTTGACTCGTGTGAGGGTTTTTTATGATTCTTTCCACAATAAGAAATTAATTTTCCTCATTTCTAATGATAGGTTTTGGTCTATTTGCCATAAGCTATACTTCCAGTCCTACGAAATTCGTGTAGCCATTGTTTGAAAACCAACTTTTTTGGATGATTTTAGTCTGGATATTTTTGGGCGTACACCCTCGACGCCAAAAGGCAATTCTCTAAACACTCACCAATTGCTAAACTCATAACTATTTACTGAAGATGACCCTGATTGAAGAACAGAATTCTGCAAAATCATGACGGAAACCATTGCAAGGCATCCTGTCTATCTCCACAATATTTGTTTTAGGGACGAATGTACATGTTTTTTAAACAGCAAGGTTCACGGACAAAATTGCCGTTATTGGAGTGACACCCAATAACGGCAATATCCAATATCCAGAAAAAATTGACGTTTGGACAGGAATATTAAGAAACCATAAAGTATAGGACCTCTATTTATTGATCAAAATTTAACAGGGGAACTGTGTTTGCATTCCGTTTTAGGAATCACACGTTAAAAGGTAAGACCTCATTAGTCCTTAGCTCGCACAAGTTTCTCAACTTCTGAGAGTTGTCGTTCGTATGGGGGCGACAGCTGATTAACGGAAAAACAGATTTTAAACAGATATGCTGGAAACTACTGTTGACTCTCTCACCACTGAAATCATCGAAGCGAATCCTAATGAATTCGATATGGATATTGTATTCCAACAAGATGGAGTACCACCACATTACTCCAGACAAGTAAGAAACTATTTGGATACATAATGGCCAGACCGCTCGTCCGAGTTGACACCTTTGTACTTTTTTATGGGGCTATTTGAAGCAAAATGTGTACGAAACTGAACCTGCTTCAATATTGGATATACGGCAGAGAATAATGAATATTTGTAGAGATAATGACGTTATTGTGTTCGAAAATGTTCGGCATGAAATATCGGATAGGCTGTTCATATGTCAAGAAGTTCAAGGCGACCATTTCGAGCATCTTCTGAACTGACCTCAAGCTTATTACCTCATATTATCCAGTTAAATGTCAAAGTATTCAGGCAATTATTAAAAGTACAAAGTAAAAGTACATTTTGTAGTAGTTAAAGATATTGACATTAGATTCTAGGATTGTGTCACAAGACCCCTCTTTCCATTTAATTTTCTCAGATGGCGCCCAGCTGCTATGTTGAAAGTTTCACTTGTCGATTTCACTTCAAAATAAATTATTCATGCATTAATTTCATTATCCCAAATTTCAATATTTTGAGTTGATTCGTTCAAATAATAAAAGTGGGGAGGCACATCAAGGAAATGCACTGTATAGAAAAAAAACACTATTTCACATAGGAAACTTCCGAAGAAAGCAAAATACATTTTACGAAGAAGTAGAAAGTCTTCTCGAAATTCGATCTCTCCTGAAAATATACCTCTTTTGATTAAATTATTCCATACTCTTGTGTTGATTTCTGTTTGACGTCGATGCATTATTTTTCAATTACATTTTGGTAAGGTTCAAAAGTTTGATAATTCTGTTGAATGTGCGCGCGCATGTCATCTCCAAATCGATTTGCTAGTTTGCTTGAAAATATGCTCCATAATATGGGCTTGATATCTACGCTAAGGCGTAATTCCCTTTTCGAATAAAAAGTATGATTGGAAAAATCGAAACTCAATGTCGTTTTTCAGTGAGATACCTTCCATTTTGAGACACAGATTCTTTGGACGTGAGTATCCCCCTTTTTTACAAAACAGTCAACCCTTTCACCTGTGGATGAAATGTTTCACGGGATAACTGATAGTATTATCAATCCACATTCAGCTCTGAGAATTATATCAAAAGATTGAATTGAATATTATGAAGGCTGTCAAAAGTATCTGCTAGTGTACTGTAATATAACTTATTTAATTCAGTATTTCAGTGGTACAATACTATGTTTATACAACACGGAAAGAAAACATATTAACTTTTTAAAATGCATAGAACTACTAATAATGCTTCAGGAAACTGATATAAAATATAATTTTTATGGCATAGTCAATATTCTTTTTGTCTTTCTTCTACGCCTATCAAGTATTGGTCCAATAAATAAAAACTTCATTGTAGTAAGAAGAAAAATTGTGTCCTTTTTGAAAAATTGAGATCACACTCAAGAACTTGTTTTAGGGTTTGTAGATAATTTTATTCATATGTTTTTTAGACACTGAGATGACACGATATAATTGTATAATTTCTATTATCCAATTAACTTAGGCTCGATAATACAGGTTAATATAATCAAAGTTGAAGAATAATATAAATTTAAAATTCACGATGATATACTTTTCTGAGGTTTATTTTCTATGCTCCTGGGTCAATAGTGCTTCCAAGAAAACAGATAATATATAAATATGTTAATTATTGACATTTTATGAAAATATGCTGAATATAAATTGAAAATTCTCGATACTACTTTTCTGAGGTTTATTTTCTATGCTTCTAGGCTATTTGTACCATAATGAAAAAACATTTCCAATATTACATAAGAATAAAACAAAAGAACTGCCATTTTCAGAATTGATTTAATTATTTACTGTCCAGCAGACATTACTTCAACTCCATAGCAACAAATTGGTTCGAAGGCATATTAATGACCAAATTTCCGCAAAAATTCTTGTCGAATACAATGCATATCGGGGTATGCATTGTATATAATTTCGTTATTTTCAACCTTCCTGTATAATAATAGCAAGTTGTTTCAATTTGATAGAATATTCAAACTGTCATAGTGAAAGTCTTTGTTATTATGGAATAAGTTATAGAACAAGAATATTCCAAGAATATTTCAAAAAACTCAGGATTATGCCATTGCCAACTTTATTTATTCATTACGTTTTAATTGAAATCCATGAGAAGAAACCATCCTGGCGAGACAATGTCATATCCACGAACATAATAATAGGGGAGTCCAAGCGGGGATTTCGGGATTTACTAAAGTGCGGCAGATTGGTATACAGGGGGGTACCTTGTACCCGGTTAAGTATCTCCACCAAATATAAGGCCGCCCGTGAATGATAAAGGATCAGATTAGTAAAAAAAAANCACAAAATGACAAGTTACGGCGTTGCCGACATGTGTACTATTTCAAACTTTCTAATTATTTTGTAAAGTTGATTTGCTTTATTGCTATTAACCTTACTTAGTTGAAATACAAATTTGTTGAGACTGTTTCGACAATGCTTTAGGCATATTGAATATACGCAGATCTCATCAAAAGAAATGATACGTTCTGAAAAGAAAAAGAAAGACTGACAGTTTTCGAATTTTTTTTTTCGATTCGGCAACGTCAGAAATTTAACTATCAGTTGAGCAACTTACTAAATGAAATTTTACTAGTTTCATTGCTATTGAACCCATTTTATTGGGAATTTTTACGTTGTTATGTTGGATATACAAAGTTTCCAAAAATGACGTTTCTTCTTAACGTGAATAACCTATATGTGAAAATTTGTAATCAGGATATTGGATAGGTTAAACAAAAGATGTATTGCGTTAATAGTTCAAAAGCATCAGAAACAATTAACTTTGGTTCGGTTATATTAGGATAAGTTTCATTTACCTAACTGCAAAAAGAATGTTATTCATTTCGGATTTCTACTGTTTCATTAAAATGTTGTGCCCTGAAACATTTCTGAACCATATGGAAAACATTTTTATTATTGATTCCTCAAAAAAATGTGTTCGCCATAAAAATTGGTACATTATCTGTAACCCAAGCTGCGTCAAATTTGGTTAAAATTATGAAAAAAATGAGGAAATCTCCCGAAGAAAGGAAGCAGGCAATTACCTTCATTTCAAAGATGGGTAGATCATGCATTTCATTAGTTCGGACTTACATTGTCTAATATGATATGAATTGATTTGAAATCCCTGAAAGAATCTGTAAAAAATAAAAAAATAAAAAATTAAAAAANGGTGACAATTGCTTATATGGTATGATACCTATTGAAGAATTTGGAAAAATCGTGGTTTTAAAATATTTAAACAACTTGTATTTGTAACTAACGTTCAATGATGATGATCTCCTACCACGTAGTAACGGCCATTTTCGTCAACTTCTAGGTAAAAGTAGTTATTCAAATTAAAATTTTTGAAACAACTTTTACATGACCGTCGACATAATATTTTCGATAATTTTCAATAACCCCAAATATTTCTTCCGTTAACGTGGACATTTTATTGCTGCATAAATTGCATCAGTCTAAAAGAAAAGGTATATATCATGGTTAATTTTGCATCCTATTTGCACTCGCGCCCTTGGCAGGGGCCTAGCTACGGCCATGTGTCGATAGTAGAACCACCGGCACCGTATACTTCTAATCTATACGGTGGTAGAACATCCACTAATGGCACCGTATGGAAACGGTGCTAATGGTATTAAAATTAATAACCTGTAATTTTTCACATCAGCCGTTGAGTTTGTTGTTCACTGTTCGAATTTTTACATACTTGAATTTTACGGATCAACTTACGAAGTCCTTATTAAAAAATATTTTGTTGGAAATATGAACAAGAATAGTATCTTACTTGTTTCTATAGAAGTTACAGTTTTTGAGATAGGAATTTAATTTATATTAAAGATATACAATTTGATCAAAATAAGGAGAAACAGCATGAGAAGAAAGGTAACCGAAAGAGATACAAAGTCGGTTGAATTAGAAAAACGTGGCTCATTTTAGAGCTTAGGACCATCTTATACATCGTACTCCTTGTCTCTTTCCTAATTTTGGTACAAAGAAAAAAAAAAGGTTTTGTAAAAGTATTCGTACAAATTTTCGTCTTCGTCTTTGAATTGTAACCTTGAGAGTTCTAGAATTCCAACTTTTCGGGGTAAAACTGAAACCATTGAGACAATGTCAATAAAGCACATCTCCAAAAACAGATACTTTTTCTTCTTCAACTAAACCAATTGAATGGCCTACAATTACTGATTCCGGTTGATGAATTCATTATACCTATTATTGGCAGCTGATGGTATTTGGAAAAAAAAATTTTTCAACTTCTAGGATTAAAGTTATACTGTATGAATTTGCCAGCCTCAGAAATTCATAAGACAAAGACATAATCTAAGAATTGATGTTATTGTCAAAAATGCCAACTTTCACGGAGTGATTCTTTTTCCGGGCCATATAAAAAATTAAAATTGGAGATGGTTTCTCTGTAAACGCCATTGGTAAACTTGAAAAGTTGTAATGAAATAGTGTTTTCGTTTTTCAATATTCTCAAATGACATCAGAAAAAAGTAAAACAAAATTGTCGAAATTTTGTTCTTTTTGAATGCCTCTGGAATTAATTGGAATTTCCTAAATTTCAAAATGTTAGTTGAATAAGCTCTGAAATGGGCAACATTTTTCTAATTCAACTGCTGGCCCTTCTTATCTCAGACACAAAGTATATAATCAGAGAGGTTGCATTTTTCACAGTTCTGACAGCTGAAAACTATGGGCCAGTTCCATATCCACCATATTTAAATGCCTCAATGATAATCACTCGAAGCAAATAACCAAAGACGCCCATTAAGAAAATTTACCAAAATAACGAATAATCTTCTCCATACACATGCATCTAATTTCACCCATTCCTGAATATCGCTTCAACTTCTGTTAATTGGTATAAGTACTTCTTTATATTGAAATGAATGTTGTGTCAGTATATTTGAATAAGTAATTCAAGAATAGAACCTGATGTTGTCTGACTGATGTTATTTTTGAATTTGATATCTAGATATTCTCTCAATTTCAGATGAGGAAGATGGCCATGCATCGTCCGCACTTGACAGAGAGACGATTGCGTCTGGTGATAATCAAGCAGCTGGTGAACAACGTGTGATATTTATTAATAGGGCTCAGCCACCTGTTCCAAAATTTGTTCATAATAGGATATCAACGGCCAAATATAGGTAAACTTTCGGTGCTAAAAAGAATCGATAAATAAAACAAAAAAAATATTAGCTTGAGGGGGTTAAGTGAACCAGGATGCACCTTTCGAAACTACCTACAAACTACAACTCATTACTTTACCTCAGTGATGGATAATGGTAATAAAATTTGCACCTGGCTTACTGAACTGACTCAACTGAACTTACTCAAAAAAAGGTCATATTCCCTCTTCTTTTTTCGACCAAAAAAACGATCGGGATACACACGATATTATTCAGCAAGTCACCTTTACACATTGTTCTTTTTGCTTCGTATTTTATCCGTACAAATTTATATTTCAGGTTGAATATTCACGTTGGTACGACTGCTTCGCACGAAAATTATAAATTCGAAAAATTTCACATTGAAACGTGTGAAAAAGTATTTATTTTTGAAAATGTACACCTTTTATGAATCAAAAGTACTCATTTGGCTCATAAAGTTGAGTATGAACAGCAACGAAATTTCGTAAATCCATGTACTAACGTGAATTTTCAACCTCAGATTTATCAACTGCACAATGAACTACCAGAAAACAGATTTGACAAAATATACGTGTTTTCCATGAAAAAAAAGTGCTGAAAAAAGTATAAAGCAATGTGGAACATTGAAGGTGATGTTGCGAATAAAATTATGTTTATTCTGATCTTATTTTGGTGCTGAAAAGAAGGTGGAATATGACCTTTTTTGATTTTCGGGGGTTATAATTTTGGAATGAAGCGAGAGCGCCAAGTATTAACTTCAGAACCGTGTCCTGCTCATCATTTCACATAAGTATGTACAACCAAAAATAATTTCAGAAATATTCTGCTGGTAAGAATCCGAATATATACCAGGACCCATACAGCACAAGTACGTTCTATGCACATACTGAGGACATACGAAAAGAACTAATAATATTTTATGGTTACGTACGGATTAGGGCCAATATAGGTCTTATACAATGTACAATCTTGAATGTTTTATTATTTCGGTCAATCTTTATGATGCATGATTTATTAAATGAACTGTTGTCCTTGCCTTATGGTACTCAATCTATGAATCCAGCTTGATATATAAACTGACTTTTAAGATTTACAATGATTAACACAAGTTCAATATATCTAGAGATCTTGTCTCAGTCTGTACTCCTAACCAAGAATAGGTTCCATTAACTATTGAACATTAACTTGTTTGATATCAGAATCAAACTGAATGTGCTAATACATTTTGTAGTGAATATTATAGCTGTATTTTTTTGTAAGACTTCGCTCCAAAATAAATTAACTTTCTGCAGTTTTCATACTTCGTAATTGCTTTTCCAGTTGCTACTATTCATTTTGTTTCAGTAAAGGAAATCTTGTGAAAAAAGTAGTGGAGGAATTTGAAATACTTTGTTGAAATAATAATACTGTCTGGTTATTCTCCTGATGCTTAAAAAACCAGTATGAAGATCTTTGAAAAAATGAGAAAAAAAAATCCAATGTAACAAATAAAAAATAAAAATGGATTTCATTTAAAGCACAGACTAGCCACATATTTTCATCATTTTTTTTCTTGGTAGTTACGACTTTAAAAGTTGTATTTTCCAAGAAACAAATAATAATGATAATAAATAATATGTGGCCCTTCTGCGCTTCCCCTAATTTCAGGCCTATTATGGAATTGATTGTTGATAATTTCAATTTGTTTCAGTATAATAAGATTTATACCACTGTTTCTGTACGAACAGTTCCGAAGATGGGCGAACGTTTTCTTTTTAATGATAGCTATGCTGCAACAGATACCCGATGTGTCACCGACTGGACGATACACCACACTAGTGCCTCTCGTTTTTATACTTTCAGTATCAGCTATCAAAGAAATAATAGAAGATATTGTAAGTTTTGAATGCAAATAACTATTTTTTGAGTCTTGTAACAAAATAGAATAACATATATTCATTTAATTTCTTGTCATTGTTTTACAACATGGGATAAGTGATTATTTAAATTTTTTTCCATTGATTTAAATTAAAAAAACTAAAAATCAAAACTAATAAACTATCGAACATTCATGAGTTTCACATCTTCAGGCAACAGGTTGAATAGGTGTGCTTCAGCATACAGAGGGGACTTATTATGTTGCATTCTTTGCTTGTGATGGAAATGAAAAACATTCTCCTGTCTAATAGCATATTCATGTTCGCACTATATCTTTCAGATTTATTTCATTCTGATAGATGTATTTAATGATTTCTAGAGATAGTTGGATGTTAGAGCAAGGATTTTGTTTTCAATGAACGTCTTTCTGCATGGGAAAGAAAGGTTTTGGCATTTTACTTCTCCATCTCTATGCAAAAAATGTGGGAAAGAAAGAAAGCATATAAGAAAATTGATGAAAGAACTGCTTGCTTTCTTTTGGGTATCACTGTTTGTTAAAAGTGAGAAAGATACTTCAAGTTTATTTCCTTGTAATTCGTTTATTATCCCAATACTTGATATATATTTCTTACATTGACCCTTTTGACATACATCAACCAACTAACACAGAACACTTATTTTTCAAGAAGCTTATATCTACTCACAGAACACATATTAAAGAGAACTTGTCATGAAAACTTGCTATTCTCAACAAAAATAAATAGCTCGAAATAAATTTCGAAATATTAATCTCTCCCAACTACCTACAAAGTAGGGTGTGGTAAACGTATGTCGAAAAACAACTACTTCCCCGGCTAATACCACGCTGGATATTGAATTACATCCGACAGACATTTATGCAAGATTTCTCACAGAGGCTAGTTTCACAAATGTTTCTCGTTCATCCAGCAGCAGGACCATGCTGAAATTATTCAAGTAGATCACCTGCAGACTGCGGTTTCGAGGTATTACCTCTCGTCAGTACACTAAAGATCCTACCCAGATAGCAATGTGTCTGGGACAGTGTCACCATTAAAGTGCGCACCATATGGGAAATTTTTTTTTCGAAAAGTTTCAATGAAGTTTAACTTCGGCACTTGTTTGTGCTTTAAATTTAACTTAAAATGATGCGGCCAACTGCGACCCACTGACGTTCAGTGTTTGTCAAATT